TTTCCAATGTCACCAAGTTGAGCAACAGCCATTTCTCCTAATTTTTAGTAAAGTCTGTTATGGCAAATGAAGGTTTATTGTCCTCCTATTGATCAAGCCACTTGAGCTTAAATGATAGATTGAAGTTACATAATGTACTGAAGGTGGCGCTGCCAAAGTAAATCGCAATTGCAATGTATCAAAATTATTTCCCTCCAATTGCTGTGTTCACTTAACTTGGGAATATTCATGCAAAAATCATTATAATGAATATCAAAAATCATTATAATCAAAAACATGTTTACCTAAAACAGTCGTAAATTTAAAGCCCAACTCCATAGTTAAAATCAAAATTGTCGTCTGAAGTATAAATTCCAACACGTTTTGTGTTTTATACTGCTTTGATTTACTTTTATTGCTTTTAGATTGTTTGGTCTGACAGAATTTAATCATTTTCAATAATTATAATGAATTGGATAATACATCGTTTTTAGAATTATTTCTGCAGTATGTGGGTGGTTAGAGGCCAGGAATGGGCAACAGCCCCGAATGCTGATCGGTCTCTAAAGTTGTACATATTTTCAAATTGGCATCCAACATTATGCAAATTTGTGGATTGGAATGCAACACTGAACCCAAATGATGATGGGATTCCAACATTGTACACATCTGGGATTCCACTTCCCACACTCTACCCATTTGAGGATAGTCTTTCAATATTCTACATGTTTGGGCTTGGCCTCCAACATTGTACCCTTTTGGGAAATCAAACCCAGGCTTTTGGCATGATGAGCCACCACTTCCACCATTCTACCCCACTGCTCAGGCGGTAATTACACGGTAGCCATGTAGGATGCAAATGCAGGTTCATTACAGCTACACAAAGGCAGTCTGCAATGTGAAGATTCCAGGTTACTACAGGTCCTGGTCACATACAAGGACACTATATGGATCGGTGGTCAGACTGGGGGGTTTGGTTACTTGAATGTCATCAATTATTTACAGGATGCCATGATAGTTGGAACATTGCCGAATATAATCAAAGAAGACAATGTGAAAGACAGAACCCATTAGCCATTGGTCAATAGTGTGGCATTAAACAACATTGTCAGGTTGTCTGACCACATGATGGCAGCTGAGTCTGGACCACATAATCCAGTGATTCATATTGAGATCAATGCCATTGGGACCAGAAGCATATATATATTATGCTGTTTTGACAAGCAATACATCTTTTTATTGCAAGCACTCGTACTTTATTTCAGATTCCTCACAGGGTTCAGGTGCCCAAATCATTTACTTCCACATACGCTCGGGTATCCATCAATAGCTGGAAGAAGATTAACCTTGTATCAGGCAGTTATGCTAGTCCACTTTGGTTGTTTCTTTGTCTGCCTTACTCAGCTTGTTGCTTAGCACTGCACTCAGCAATATTCCAGCTATATGGCGGCGGTCTGTAAATAACTGAGTCTGGACCAGACAATCCAGTGATCAACAGTATGAACATCGACCTATGCAACTGGGATACAATGACGTGTCAACCAAGTCAGTGAGCCTTACCACCCGATCCTGTTAATCGGCTCTTACGACAAGCATGGGTTGCTGAAGACCAATTCTTACCCAGATCTTCATGGGAACTATAGAGTAGGACATGCTGAACAATTTGGCCAACACCTCTTGCACTGTCATGGCAATATTACAACTTGTGTGTGTGTGTGTGCATGTGCATGTGATCATACCGCAAATCTAGCTTGAATTTTTGTCCTTTGTTCACTTCCTGTGACAGAAATATGCGTTATCCTTAAGAACTGGCCTAGTGATACATGTATTAAGAAAGAATTTCAACATGTTTCTATTCTTTTAAAAACAATTTAAGAAAATAGATGTTCATATAATTCTTTTGATTGGCATATTCTATTCATTTCTATCAATGATAATTGATAGGGAAATGACAAAATGGTCAATTTCATGAATATCACAATGTTCTTATTCCTACACAATCCCAGTGCCCTGGTTTAGATCATAAACACATGACACAGTTTGCAACATAATATATTTTGTATGTGATACTTAGATCTGGTAACATTCATGAAACTCCTTCATAGTTTTGTACAAATACACAGGTCTAAGTTCAGTATTTGTAACAGACACTCTGGAATAATAAAACTGTACATATAATGTTGAACAAGATGGCCAATGTAACAGTGTAAGTCCCTGTATAACTGCCCTCCTTGCCCAGAGAGATTAACTTGTCTGTCTAGTATTTGAGAGAGGAAAGAAAATAATTCCCAGCAGAAATTTAGGAAACATAATTGAAGTGAATAGGTGTTAAGAGAATGGTACAAATGGATTGCCGACCAAAATACTCTCATCTGTCTACAAGGTGGATTGCTACAAAGGTGTCCTGTCAAAACCTTCCAGTTCCTCTTGTCAATTTCAGCATACCAGTGGGAATGACATTTTAATTTTCAATAATAGTTTTTGCACATCAAACTTCCCTTTTCAGGATGAGAACGGAAAATGCTATAGACTCCTAAGGGTCACATCAGAAGTCAGCCCCCATCCTCATTCAAAATGACGTCCATAGGATCTAGGACTTCGGATTTCTATGTTTAGCAGCAACTTGCATTGGTCAATAATGCCAAAATATCAAGGTGGCAAATGAGTTCCTTCCAAAAAAGATGTCAATTCACAAGGGCACTATTTGCTAAAGCAGGATTCTTTAAGCTTGAAGTGATGGATTGGATTGGACTTCACAGTTAATAATTCACGCTCCTCAACTAGAAAACCTTGACAAGTGTCGGCATACAATACGAACATATCCACTTCTAACATAATTACGATACAAATGATTTTCTGAATGAACATGAGAGGTTGTTCCCTGAATAGTGATCAACAATCTACAGATTTTTGCTGTGTGACAAATTGAAGATGATACAAATCAACTGAACAGGAATTGCTTTTTAAATAAAGTTAAACTGTTAGATTGATCCAGAACTCTCAAAACCTGATAGCAAATGTTATGCTCCTGATTCCTTAACTGACTGACTGAGTTTAGTTTTACGCCGCTTTTAGCAATATTCAAGCAATATCACGGCTGGGGACACCAGAAATGGGCTTAACACATTGTACCCATGTGGGGAATCGAACCCGGATCTTCGGCGTGACGAGCCAACGCTTTAACCACTAGGCTACCCCACCGCCCCATTCCTTAACTAAAACTTGAATGTTGACATGTGGATAAGTGTTTGCTGGTATCAAGTAGTGTCATCTAAGCTATGCTGCAGTTCTTCTAACAGTCAATGTCAATTTGATGAACTTTGAGTGTTTGCATGTCAATTTGTAGAGCTTATTGCATTTAATTGTTTCATGTTTATCAAAGACTTGCACAAGTCTCTAAGGTAAATAAGTGAGTGAGTTTAGTTTTACGCCGCACTCAGCAGCCTGTAAATAATCGAGTCTGGACCAGACAATCCAGTGATCAACAGCATGAGCATCGATCGGTGCAATTGGGAACCGATGACGTGTGTCAACCATGCCAGTGAGTCTGACCACCCGATCCCATTAGTCACATCTTACTGAAGCTCAATATTCTATATTGGAGATAGGCTATGGTTATCGCTGCACTTAACAATATTTCAGGTTTAAGACAATGGTTTGTAAATAACCAAAATGGGACCAGACAAACCCAACCAGTGATAGACATCATGAGCATCGATCTACACAATTAGGAGACATGCATCAACTACGTCAGCAAGCCTGACGAATGATCCTCCCAATTGCTTGTGTTGGGTTGAAATCAATTCTAGACCTGATCCAACTAAATTTGAAGTGTATTTCCATCTGATCATTGTGTAACGAAATGAAATGTGTGACAGAAAAATGGACTGACTGACTGAGTTTAGTTTTACGCCTCTTTTAGCAATATTCCAGCAATATCACGGGGGGGGACACCAGAAATGGGCTTAACACATTGTGCCCATGTGGGGAATCGAACCCGGGTCTTGGGCGTGACGCAGAAAAATGGAAAAGTGTGAAGGAAAAATATAAGCAGTTTAGATATTATGAACAAACATTAAATACTTGTAACCCCAGTAGTGTCAGATTCTGATGAAAGCAAGACTCAGGATACCAAGTACAATAGCTATCCTTGGATGTGTTCTAAAAAGTCACTTAACATAATTAAAAAAATCCCAAACCATTTAATATGCTGTTAGCTGACTGGTACCTTTAGTCATCTTATTAGGATAGTATTACCATGAGATCACTGGGAGCATCAAATATCATAGGATACTCTGGGGTTTTATAATTTGTTTTGATAAAACTAGAAAAACAAATCATAAAAATGACTGTCATTGATCAATTAGTGTGGTAATAAAAATGGTTCCATAATAATATAGACTAATGTGTGTGCAAAGTCTGAACAAATATTCAACGGTTTAAGCTTTTGCTCTTCAAACAAACCCTACACTCATTTGAACCTAATATTGAATTATCACAGAATGTCCTAAATTCATGAACAGCAAAGGCACCAGTTAATGGCTAGACATAGAAGCAAAACCTGATTTATTGAATCATCTTTGAGCTACGCTCCAGAAAAAGATGGATTGAAGATGGTCAATCTGTAGCCTGATTATATACTACACACATGTATGCAAACCAAATCAGTCACTGCAACCTGTGCTTGTCATAAGTGGTGACTATAATGACTGGGTGCTCAGACTTGGTGACGGTTTATGTTATCATATCTCAGTAACAAAGACAATGCTCATGATGTGAATCACCTGGTTGTCTAGTCCTGACTCCATTTTATTACAGGTTGCCGTCTTATAGCTGGAATATTGCCAAGTGTGAAACAACAAACGCTAAAATCCATGTATGTTCTGCATCCATAAGATCAGTTAACCATCACAGCTTTGGTGGGTCATTACATTCCAAAATACAAATAATGTTCCAAGTTTCTTGATGGGATTACATATATTTGATGATTCGTTCCTTCAAATAAAAAAATGACACAATAGTATATTTCATATTTTTAATGGGTGGAAATTCTGTACAGTTTGTACAATATACATTTTCTATGTACACATCTACTACTCGGGCATCATAAAATAGCACTCTGGATTAAAATGATCCAAATTGTTGGCAATTTGAATGATATCACGTCTTGTTCCATATGTTAAGTACACCAACTTCTTTGAAGAAGCCAACTATTGCATCATTATATTCCTCTTCAAATACATCTTTCAATACAAAAATAGCATTACCTCAAACTAATATGCCTTGACAACAAAGAATAAATATATACTTGGTAATTTGTCTTTATGGTTAAAATTTCACTTCCAATTTCTGATGAAATTTACTCACAATGCTTCAAATTTACTTCACAAACCAAAATATAAAAAAACCAAAACAAAAGAAAGGCATTTGCAAGAGTGTAATATTCACTTTGCAAAAGTTGTAAAAAGAAAATAAAATCGACTAAGAGGTTAAAATGTTGTCATGACACTGAACGATGGTATAAATGGTTTAATCAACACAAACAGCAGCAGCGATTTGTACAGACAATCTCATATCTATAAACAATAAGTTCAATACATTCAACAAATAATTTTACTATTTACAATTTCACACTCCATTCATACCCATTTATACAAATAGCACCAATTATGCATGGATAATGTATGTTGAACTCTGTGCAGGGCGCGTGAAGGCTGTCAATGCCTCTACACAGGTCAACTGCTGGGGATCATGTAATACTGGACTGGCTATCAAATGTAAAACCCTTGCGAAAATTCCAGTCCTGGTGTCTCGGAAAATCACATTCACGGAACAATCAAGGACTATTCTGGCTACACAATGATGTCTTTGAAGAATAAATTGTCTATTTCATTGCACAATTCTTCAGCATTAATCGTGTAACTACCTGACGTGGTTGTCCTTTCATCGTCTTCGTGCATTGTCACTGCACTGTCGCACAACACGTCATCCATATCACCAATAGAGTACCTCATTCCTGGTGTACTCTCGGTAATATCAATAAACGTTCCCTGATTGGGCGTATGTCCAGTAAATCGAACACGATTCATAGCCCTTAGATGATAGGGTGTCTGGGAAGCATTTCTTTCACTCCTAGCAAATGTTTGCATTGGTATATTGTCTCCATGTAACTTCTTTTTACGTTTTGCGTCCACAGTGGTATTTGCTGTCACACTATCGTCACTAAAGCTGATGTTACGGGGGTAGTGGTTGCCTTGAATTTCTCCAAGACGTGGACTCATGGCTGACCTCAGACTAAGTTGTGAATTTGTGCTTCGTGTTGTGTCATGACTAGTATCACGTGACAGGATGTAGGTACCTCTGCCAGGCTGGTATCGCGGGCTGTAAGATTTCACATCGTCTGAAAACAAGAATACAACATTACTCTAAATATCACATTGCTAGTTGTTAAATAGTCGTAACGACCTACAATACAACACAAGTGTGGAATATAGTGAGAACTGACAACTCATTCATAGGATACATTGTTACATGCTAAATACCAAGATTGCAGCTACTTGTGCCTGCATCTACTTGAAATATTAATGTCAAAGTTGGTAGTACTGCAACATTTATACACACAAATGAGCATGGCAGTAAAAATATTAACCAGTATAATCAATTATTAATCAATTTAATACTGCCCAAAACTCATGAATTTTTTACTCCAGTTCTTGTCACATCGCTACACCAATAAAGTTCCTCATATGATTTGAATTGCTTTTATGTCTTACTCAATATCGGACAGAAATCTCTTAAACGTCATTTCAAGTACCCGTCACATAACTCAACAATCTGACCCACAACTTAACCCTCTTGATGACAAAGCAAATGTAGGTGAGGGTAATAACAAATGTCAACATTTCACTTAGCACTGAGACAGTTAATTGCACTCTGAATCGAGACAAGGTTATAATACTTAACATGACAGCTTCAACAGGACCTAATGTAGCGATGTAACTGCTTCCTTGCAGATTATGGGACTTTTATGTTACAGCTTTACATTGAAAGTGCTAGAGTCACAGCCATGTCACTGAACAAGTGCTATCATTTATCAGCCAATTCTTGACAAGACATCCTTGAAATCAAATTAATGGTTTTTAAGCCTTTCACCCCAGATGGAAAATGGATTAATAAGACATCTTAATGTGAAATATGACATCACACACATTTGCAATGTACTAGTTTTTTAAAGATGAAATTTGTGTGATGAATGTACAAATATACACAGATGGAAGCATGCAGAATAACAAATGCTGTACAAACAATGCTGAAAAATACAATGAAATATTGAATCTTGTTTTAACTCTGAACAAAGGAACCAAAAGAAGAATCAATGTCATAAATAAGTAATAGTAAATTTGTGATGGTCATGATAAATCTCTCATTTACGGAAAAATTCAATATTGAATTTCCGTGCATTTCCAGCGAGACAAAAGTAAAAGGAATGGGAGCGAATAAAACCATGTTGTATTTCTTTGGCATACAGTCTTTGGGAAAGAAGACAGATGGAAAGAAGAAAGAAATTTAAAGATTTTTTTTCAGAGTGAATGCCAATGCAAAATCTCAGAAGCAGCATTACAAGAAAATCAAAATGATCCCAATCCATATCAGCTGACCATGCATATTCGTTCTAAAACCACAACCATATTCATTACATTCCACCTAAGATCAACACATATCCAACGTTTGCTCAGTGTTTAAATACCATATTTTCTTGCCACCAATAACAAAGGTTCTTTGCAAGACTAAAGCTATATTTTCATCTGGTTTGACAGCGAGTGGCCATCTCTACCCATATACTCTCGTCCACCAAGGTTTGCTACAAAGCAACAGAGACCAAGGATTAAGAATTAAAGCCTACAGTGTTTATGAGAAACACACATGCAAGGCCGGGATTAGATGCACCAGCCCTGATGTATGGTACTTGACTCTAGTTTTAAATCCACACGTATCACTTGACTATCTTTAGCTTGGTTAAAAGGATCAAAATACTGCCATTTTCTGGAGGAAAATTGTAATGGATTATGTGGTATTATTGCTCTTTACCACACTGAAAGAATGAGCTGGACTTAACATGATCAGTAATATCATATCAGTCTGTAGATATAGTGAGGAAGGTTTAATGCTGGTTTATGAGTGAGTGAGTGAGTTTAGTTTTACGCCGGTTTTAGCAATATTCCAGCAATATCCCGGCAGGGGACACCAGAAATGGGCTTCACACATTGTACCCATGTGGGGAATTGAACCTGGGTCTTCGGCGTGACGAGTGAACGCTTTAACCATTAGGCTACCCCACTGCCCGCTGGTTTATGAAACAATCTATCCCACATTAATGCTTTTCACATTTGGTGTCAGTCTGAGTGATTGAGGATTCCAAATGCTACTTCACTAGTTGATAGGAAGCTGTTGGACCAGATAAACCAGTGATTACTACAGGGTAAACACAGATCCACTGAGGTACAACAGCTGTTATGTACAGCATTAGTAATAGCACTTATCCAATTATAAATTCACACTTGTTAAGAAATGGGAAATTTGAATTAATACAAACAGCAAATGCTTCATATCATCAGAAAGACTAATGAGGTTCCACACCTATGAAGAGTAAGTGAGTGAGTATGGTTTTATGCCACTTTTAGCAATATTACTGCGGGGGACACCAGAAATGGGCTTCACACATTGCACCCATGTGGAGAATCGAACCCAGGTCTTTGGCGTGACAATCAAACGCTTTAACCACCAGGCTACCCCACAGCCCCTACACCAATAAAGAAGTATGGTTTCCAGGTACTTGTTATCATAATCATTGTTAATTCCAAATTGTAGTCAACTTTGAGGTTAAGCATGTGGTTTGGGATTTCTTTCTGAACTCCCCAGCAATGGGTTTGCAGGTGTAGCAGTCATGAGTATAGGTACAATCTTGCAAACTGCTTGCTTTCATCCTTATATATTTTAGAACAACAACATTAAAATGTGCTTTTATATTCAATTACTGCTGTAAGCTGTATTAATGGATGCATAAGTTAATTGAAAGACGAGTTAGTTTTAAAAGATATTCACACGTAATGATATAAACCTTTCGATAACCACACTTATTAATAGAAAACACACAACTTTTAAGGTTATATCTGCAATTGTACCATTGCAGAATATTTAAAACATGATACACAAACTGTATGTATTGACATTTGGTTAGTTTTACGATACACTCACAGCAAACAGTTTGATCTATACCTCGTAACAGCCCATTTTCTATATGTCAGCACTACAAGACAAAAGGACAAAATATTATCTAAATTTGATTAACCTTTCAATCACAGGGCTTTCGTAATTGAACATGTATCACCATTCAACAAAGCCGCTTGTGGATTAAGGAAATTTAACTATTATTCATCATAGAGTCTCTGTATTACAAACTATCCAAGTAATTTCCTCTGTGAATGAAAATTAGAATGAATTAAAACTACAAATGAAATTTGGTCCCACATGCAACTTATTAATCAAAGTTGCATTCGTCAATCAACGCAAACCCTGGGACTATAATCCACCATAATGAAAATTACATCCAGTATTGAAGGGACGGTGATGACCTAATGTCACCGAGTTGCTGGGAAACCGCTGAAATGGAACCGACACCGAGCGGATAAAGGGGCAGTCACACAACAAGTAATGCAAAGGACAACGATCAGGCAAGGAGGTTGTTGAAGCAGCTAAAAGGGCTACAACAAAAAGGACAAACATCTGCAACGTCTACCACAGGAGCCAAGCAAAAGGTCAAGGTTACGATGAAAGATGTGATGAAATTTGTGATGACTTACAACTAAGCAGGTTATCGTGACCAGGGTTCCATCTTAGCTATACATAGCTAGCATGACGGACTATTGCTGAAAGAGGCAGACATGATTCGTATGTAGATGATTGCAGTTTGAAATATCTATCTACAAAAGCAGATGTTATTTAGGCAAAATACTTGTACCTTGTTAATAAAGCAATTTTTGAAATGTTAAAATAAATGAAGACAAGATTGGAAGAAATTTGCCTTCTTAGGAATTTTTGAATGCTAAGGTACTAAAAATAATTGTGAGTTCTACAATCTAAGAGTGCTTATTTGATGTGATGGGTTTTTGTATTGCTATGCATTTCTACGGTTAGGTCATGCTTGTGCTCTACATGTAACGCATACACATCTACAAACATGACAACCTTATCGATTATACGATTGTTCCATCAAGATAATGCTATGAATGGTGATTAACCAGCAGGAAACAGTAATTAATACTCGAGGCAGTATCTACCTGCTAACGAGATAAATCTACGCCAGACCATTTCAGAATACCCATAATGGGTAGGGCTCTTTGTTCATCAGCCTTAATCATTTTTGAGTAGCATCCTTGAGTTGGTTAAATTAATTTCTGAAATATTAATCCTAGCTAAATGAAGTATTGATGACAACTACCAATTTAATTATGTCCATGTGCGAGCGAGCCCTGTCCAGAATCTTGCTTGAGTGGTCAGAAGCTACTTTTCATAGCTGACTGACCTTACAGTGCCAAATGTCAATCATCCTCGGACTTTGATGATTATTTGTTAATTACAGCTCCATGGATCGGTCAGTCTAGTTTTAATCTCAGGAACTATTCCCCTGCAGATGTTCCAATCCAGATGAATTTATTGGATGCATTATTGGAATTATTGGATTGACTTCATTGTCCTATACTAGTCATCTTATATACAGTATATGCTCTTCAGCTCTTTGCAACAAGATCACGTAAGGATTTATTATGTTTCTTTTCCAGCTGAATTTGTTATCTGTATGCATGCAATGATATACAAGACTAACTCAGACAAAACACTCACTCTAAAGCTCATGCTATGTCACAAGAGATGAATAAACAACCCAAGTGCAAATTTTATCATAGGAAAACTGAATTAACTCTAATTCCATGCATGTTAATAAAATCTTATTTTCACAACCAAAATACATCATAATGAAATTAGTAAAATATCTCAAACACATTCCTCAGGAGGAAATCAACATTCATTAGAAACTAAAATGTTAGCTTTGTATGATTATGGGAAACTAAAACTGTTAGCTTTGCTTCAAACATTATGTAGACTTACCAGAGTCACTATGAGGTACAGTTGATCCACGATTACTCTGGGAGTCTTCCTCACTACATCCCCTCCCACTATCTGTTTCAGCCCCCTGAGACAACTCGCTTGTTACATCATCAGCCTTTTTAACCTATAACACCAAATACAAGATGCTTTAAAACCATTTCAAATACAAATATCAAACTTTAAACATAAAATCAAATTATTAATTCTTTCAAATTAGGAACAGATGAAAAATATTTGTTCATCAAAAAGGAAATATTCCAAATTTAACCTGTAAAAATGGATGAATTACAGTTGCCTTCATTAGTGTTTCTATGTAAGCAAAAAGAGATTTAATTTTGTTAGTGATTAGAAAAGAAAGAATGACCATCCTCCACATGCCAACTATGTCAATTAGACCCTAAATCTTTTTTAGTTCGATCTAAAAAACTGACAGGAGTTCCAGGACATAGATCAGTCATTTTGTTTTTCTTAGCAGGGAACAACTTTGAAAATGTGCAACTAATTTCTAGCTTGCTTCAATTTTTATTTTTGAATTAAGATATATTTTTTCCGAACCTCAGTTTCAGACAGCCAATGAGCAGTATCACAGTCATGCTCTTGTATTCTTTCCGATGCTAATCTATGTATTTCCCTCTTCTTTTCAGCATAATGTGCCATCTTCAAGTTTGTGTGCTCAGGAGTATGTGTGTTGTTAGTTAGCACAGAGCTACAGGCTTGCGGATTCTGAAAGATCAATTATTAAAGGAAATTGTAAATTTTTTACACGACAGGAGAAAAGGGATCTTTGAAAAGTTCATTGTGAGTACTGTCGGGTTCTGAGCAGGCAAGTCAGACTGCTATTATGGTAATGAAATATAGACAGTGTTTCGATTGGGGCTCAATAAGGCCGGCTCCATTTTCTTTTTGTCAGCATTCGCTGGCTGGTAGACACATCGAGTTTTAATAAGACCTAGAAAAGCATTATGGTGTCCTCTGATGGTTAGGGAACTGGCTCACATTACCGAATCCAATTTTGTTGTGTAACTCTAGTTGACTTGATAGATATTTAGAAGTTGCTGCTCAACGGCAATCTATACTCATTAATGTCAAACTACAAGTTATATCAATCTAATTTAAGTTTCATTAATAGCAATCACTTTATACCCAGTGACACATTTAAACAATTATACAGTGAAATGGGAGACCTGTAATTTGTTCTATTTCGAGTCAATATTAAACCAATGAAAGCATGTTCAAAACCTCTTGATATACTGAAGGAAACAAATTCAGCAGCACATGTCAGTTTTACAAGATAATGTTTTCTAGCATTGTAGAAAAGAAAATAAGACTGTGTAAAGGTAGTTTGCATTCACTGCTCAGTTGAACAGTATCTGGAATGTCTTCGTACATTTCAAACTCATAGTTCCCACTAGTTGTTACCATTTTATGTTCTATCAATATATAAGCAAGAAATATTCTGGATGAGTGAGTGAGTATGGTTTTATACTGCTTTAAGCACTAATCCAGCAATATCATGGCGGGGACACCAGAAATGGGCTTCACACATTGTACCCATGTGGCAAATCAAATCCGGGCCTTCGGCTTTACCCACTGAGCTACCCCACTGCCCCCCAAATATTCTAGACTGACTGAGTTTGGTTTTACACCGCTTTAAGCAATATTCCAGCAACATCACGGCTGGGGACAGCAGAAATGGGCTTCACACATTGTACCCATGTGGGGATTCGAACCCGGGTCTTCGGCGTGACGAGCCAACGCTTCAACCACTAGGCTACCCCACTGCCCCAAAATATTCTAGAGCCCTCACAACATACAACACAGCTAAAGAACACTACATAACTTTCATAAGGAGAAAGGTTTTCATAAAATTGGTAGATTTCAAAATACTAAGAAATACTTGAAAAAAATGTATCTACACTCATGATACTTGTAAAAGTCATTTACACCGTGAAATAGATGGGAAAGATTAAATTTCTGCTCAAGTTCACATGTTCAGAAAGTGTTTCCAGTAATGTCATGAACACCTCAAAATAGGCGACATACTAGAAGGTGAAATGAAGCATATACATAAGATGTGAAACTAGGTATTTCTACCCATCAAAAGTTGAGAATCCAAGACCTATTATTGATGTATGATTGATGTGCTTTCATAGAGGCAAGGACTGAAACGTTTTGTCAAGAAATTAATCTCATAATATAACCATTTGACCTCTCCTATCGACACTGATGCATGCATATTAACATTGGCATGATCAAATATTGATATTAATGATAAAGATTAGACGCACTGACATTTCACAGAGCGATTAGCAATTTTTTTATTTGCTACGCATCAGTTTTCAAATTTTTCCAATTTCAATCGAATTTCATTTCAGTTTCAACTTATAAAAACATGTAACCTAATATAAGTATTTCTCTTAGTCAATATGAAATTTCTGTGCAAATTGATTTGATAGTTCTGAGTTTTGTCAGTACAATTAATTTTTTATCAAGGAAGTACAAAATCAATAGAAATTCTTCAGCAAGGTATCTGAACCTGTAACAGTTCAAAATCTAAAAGCAATCTACACAGGAAACATGAAAAGATTACCAGCTAGTGAAATTCTTTCACACTTTTTGGATTATCCCCAATGGACAATGGACTTTGTGTAGATTTCCTTCAAACCTTTCCCCCCAGTTATGGATGAATGTTACACCTTTATTTTGTTTAAATACGATTTACTCCAAAATCCACCCCCAATGAACCACACTAAAGCTTGTTTGTCTGCAAGGAGGTACAAATGTTTGCCAACGTTTTGCCTTCAAACCGCTGCCTGTAGTCTGTCACATATGCTTGTGTGCTTCATGGTCAGCGGTCAATATTTACAAAATGTTAGCTTCCAGCCATCTTTAAACTCAAAATTTAGGGCAATTATATCATGACAGAGGCTAAGGGGTTTCAACATCTTTCCAAACATAGTGTCCCCCCGAAGGAAATACCACGTTTAAGTCGGCACACTAGAGGACATTTGCTGAATTTCAGTCAGGTTGATTTTACGCGGGAATTGCTTTGATGCCACTATTACTAGGTTTTTCGCAGTTAACTAAATTTGTGTAGAATTTGGATTGTGATTTGTCCTCAACAAGAAATACAAATATAACACAGAGGCAAGAGGGATGTTGTTGACAGCCAAAAATATTGAACAAATATCATGGAAATCTCGATTGATGAAATAAAATATGAAATAGAATATGATGCAACATAGTTTCATATTCAAATCTAATATAATGCTGAATTAGTTAATTGAATATTTTCGCAATGGATTACAGTTTGATTAGAAGATTTCTTTTAATGTTTATGTTTATCTTAATGTTGGTTATATGGCATGGCTTACCATGGAATAAGGGATTAATGTAACAAAAATGTCATAAGACTAAAAGCCATTTGTCAACAACTCCTGCATTAACGTCATCCAATCTATTATATATATGAAACCATTACAATATGGAACATATTAGTGTATACAGGTGGAACCACAGCAACATGTTTATTTTCATTTTCTTTATCAACAGAATGGAAATTAATAGTTACTATGTCAATATTTTTCATAAGAATCGGTACATAATCTTTATCCCTTGGTAGGATGGACTATCAACAAAAGCAAGGCATACCAAAGGAGTGTGGTCTCAAGAGAGATTGCTTAAGTTCACAGCTGAACAAAAGTAAATTATTTGTCACCAGGATCTATGATACTTTGTATCAACACTTGATTGGACCATATGTAAACATTCCTAAGCCTCCATGTAACCCACACACTGGGGATTAATCCAGTATGAAGTTAAATGGCTTTCAAATTTGGCGTCATCTTTTTCCTTCCATGGTAAGCTAGCAATCCCTATTGGCCCTTCAGGGCATATCACTTGTCACAGAGATGAAGAGAAATGGTATCTGATTCTGGAAAGGTGGGCCTCAAATTAGTCCTGCTTGATAAAATTCAGATGAAATGGACCAAAATTGAGTAGTTATCACAATTTAAATTATTTTGTTGCCTGGTGTCAGGTAATTTGTCTTTGTGAACAACTGGAGCTTGCTCATCACAACGTGTCATCTTACAAGGGTGCAATTTAGCCAAATGGGAAGGATGACCCAATGGTATTATTCAACACTGATATATACTCCAGGCTATGAGAGAACTGGCAAATAACTACCAATTGATTGAGCAACTTTGAAAGAAATGGAAAAGCCTGATTAAGCACAATTAAAGGAAGCAATATGCGAAGTGGTACGGGATGAGATGGGAGAAAATAGGAGTAAAGAGTAAAGATGCCTGGAGACTAATGCTACTGCTGATCCCTTTCTTGACTGGCTATTAGCACTGTCCAAATCTGTTAAATCATCTGATGATTTAGAAACTCGCCCTAACTGTTAATGCATTATAAATTGGTGTTTAAGTTCTGCCCTGTCATCAGACAGGAGTGATAAGGCGACAGTGGAACATAAAGAAAGATCCATTCCGACAACCATTGTTAATATGTTTAAGTGAGCTTTTATGCAACATTTAGCAATATTCCAGCAATAATCACAGCAGGGACACCAGCAATGCACTTTGAATACTGTACATAGAGAATAGAACTCTGGTCTAAGGTGTGAGAAGAAAACACTTTACCCACTAGGCTACTCCACCACCACAGTCTGACAAACCGACATTATAAAGCAGGCTACATATCATTCACAAACCATGGTTAAGGACTACTTGTTAGTAAGATGATAAATGTATACTTACAGCCAAGGTTTTCTGGTCTATCGAGGAATATGAAGTCATATTTTTGAATGTTGCGAAAGATGCTCCTGTGACAGCTGTGGTATCCATTGCATGGGAGTCGTCGACAGTAAAACTAAGTTCTCGTTTAATTTTCCTTTTCAATTTATCTATTTCATTTTCATATGGTTTATTTGGTGAAACTCCTGTATCCACTGTTTCAACATTGTCCACAGTGTAAGCAGCTTGGGTCTGCATCTTCTCCTTCAATGTCTGTCGACGTTCTTTGTCGATTTTCTTGATTATGCAAATTGTTATGATGACGGCCACACACAACACGGATGTAACACACACTAATGTTATTACAATGGCAATATACTGGTGGGCATCGTTATCATTAATAAACTGAACAGTGCCGTTTGATGAAGTTAGGATGATATTGAGATTCGCATACGATGTCAACTGAGGTTCACCTGAATCATGTGCAGCTACAACAAGTTTGTATGTACCAGCATCTGATGAATGCATTTCTTTTGCTATATACATCTCCCCAGAATGTAGATTTAAGAAAAAGAGTTCCTTGTCATTGCCCTGTTCAATTGTATAAGTCAGTTTTGCATTGTCTTCAGTGTCATTGTCGAATGCTCTGACAACAAGAATAATGCTTCCGACAGCTCGGTGATACGGTACATACACAGTGTTGTTGATGTCACTTGGAAACACGACAATCGGAGTATTATCATTCCAGTCCTTAATGAATACTGTCACATTAGCTTTGTCTTTAAACTGTGAATTATTTGGGTCACGTACGATAACACCAAAGTCAAATCTGAGATGATCCTCTCTGTCAAGTCTCTTTTTGTTTCTAATTATTCCAGTCTCGGCATCGATGGTGAAATATTGTGAAACATTTGAGCTCTTAGAAAATGAAAAGGAGAAATTTTGGTCGACATCACGATCTGTGGCATTCAATTTGCCTATGACAGAATTAGCATGCTGGCTCTCGGACACATAAAAACGGAAATAGGGCACTGTGAATCGTGGAGGTTTGTCATTGTCATCATCAATGAACACACTGAGAACTGCTGTAGATGACAAGCGACTGTCCTTAGCATCTTCAGCCTTCACAGTTATTGTAAATGATGGCATTGATTCGCGATCATAGATCTTTGATGCACGAACCTCTCCTGATCTTGAATCTAGGTTTACTAAGTCCCTTGGATCACTCACGATAGAATAACGAACTTCATTGTTGCCTGGGCCATCTGGGTCAGTTGCAGTCAAAATGGTGACAATATCACTGTATCGGTTATTTTCCCTTATATGAGCATTTATTCTGTCACTTATGAAAGAAGGTGCATTGTCATTAACGTCCTTCACCTTCACAGTGAATGACGATGAATTTCTACGAGGTACAACACCACCATCTTCGCATGTGATGTTTACAGTATGTGTTGGGGATTCTTCATAGTCCAGTGACCTGTTCAGCAGAATTTTGTAGTAGTCAAAATCTGAAAACTTTTGAAGGACAAAATGATCGTCATGGATTTTGCACGATACTTTGCCATTATTACCACTATCAGCATCAAAGACAGATACGTGGGCTATGAAGGTACCGCGTTCTGTGTCTTCAGAGATATCCTTGCTGCTTGGGGGCATATTGATAATAATTTGTGGGGCATTGTCATCAACATCTGCGATGTGAACAGTGACTGTAGCCTGTGAAGATCGCGATGGGTTTCCAAGATCACTGACTTCAACTCTAAAACGATATTCTTTTTCTTCTTCATAATCTAACTTTCTCTTCGGGGAGAGTTCACCACTGTCTTTATCAATCTTAAATACATTTTTAACACTTTCGCTAGTGCGGTCGCTGAATTTGTAAGCTAGTTGGCCATTTTCATCAGCATCGGGGTCAGTTGCGGTCAGAATTAGAATGACTGTATGCACTGGTGTATCCTCGGGAACACTGACGTTGAACTCTTGTTTCACAAATAGTGGTCGATTGTCATTAACATCACTAACCACAACATTGATAGTCACAGATCCTGACCTTTGTGGATAACCACCATCTTTGGCAACTACTGCCATGCTGAAAGAACTTCGAGTTTCACGATCCAGAGACTGTTTAACTACAAGTCCTAAGTCTGCTGGGCCATACGAGTTTTCAATTACTTTGAGTCCAAACATGCCATCACTTGGGATGAGTTCATAAGACTCAACGGAATTGTTATCACCAGTGTCCAGGTCCACTGCTCCACTGGTAAGCAACTCTTGATTCACAGCCACAGACTCTGGCACAGTCAGCGTCACCACATTCTTGGGGAAAGTTGGGGCATTATCGTTGATATCGAGTAAATCGATATTGACACGAATAATTGTCTTCAAATCGGGAGTTTCTGAGTTGCCTTTGACCATGTAAACTTCCACATCGATGCTGAGTGTGCACAACTTCTTGCCTCGGCATTCATCTTCTCGGTCCAAACGTTCAGTTGTTCTTATGGTACTGGATGATGCATCAATATCAAACTTTTTAGCAACCTTGCTAGCTTGAGTAAATAAAGAATATCTCAAGAGTAAGAAATCTGAAGGACTGTAGGCAGTATAGAGCTTACTATCCCTTGCAATATTTCCAACAAATGTACCTGGATTTTGCTCCTCTTGAAGGGGATAGTTCAATGTCAGCTCCTCACAAAACACAACTTGCATCAAAGTCACATGGACCAAAACATAACACCACAGAAAACCCATCTTAAAAAGTCAAAGTGGTTAGTAATCCAGAGCAATATGACCTTTTAGATTCCACTCAGTAATTATGTCTATCCACAGGCTTAATATCTCTTTTCAACTCCACATTTTCTTCTTGGCAAACTGCTGGAAGTGTCGTCTGCTGCAACCAGTGTCCTGCTACAAGTGTCGTCTGCTTGTGTCTTTAGCTGTCCAACACTAGGGGGAGGCTACATGTGGGCTGGTCTGCAAACATAAAGATACAATTGTCAACAACAGGTCTCATGGCTGACTATCCTGACATGGAGACACATCTTCACGTCTGCCATACAGCCAACTCGTTGCTAATGAAGCTAGCAGGTTCATCGATTCCTAAAATGCTCACCTGCAAAAAAGACATATCTATAAAACACACTTGGGTATCCCTTTCACTTGTAACTGGAAACCTGGCAAGAAATAATGGCTATTAAAAATTAACAAACCTGCCCTGACAGCAAGTTTTTAACAGTCTTTCTTTCATATATGATACACTGAACTGCCAGTTCAGTGCAGGGATTACTCAATTTACGTTAAAAATATATTAATCTCATTTGTATAGGTGACAGAAGGTACAAAAGACTTAAACACAGAACCACCATACAATACTCATTGTAAATTTGACCCACATAAAGATGTTTTCATACAAGAACAGCTTTTTTATCATTTTATATTAATAAATATATCATATTTATAGGGACATTGTTTTCACAGATTGACAGCATTCATAACTGAAATTTTTTACCTTGTAACTTCACATTTGTATAAATATTATGTATGGACATTTATGTGTTAGATACAACATTTATTAGCTACTTACTGAATTACATTACTGCTAGAGTCTAAGTCCAGTGCCTTGTATGAACTAACTTAACACAAGGAAGGTCATGTACTAAGTTATCTCCCTATGGCTGCTCCCTCTGACCAATGGTAGCACAGGCCGTCAATTTAACACACCTCTGGTCAGCGAGAATGGCACAAGCCTCCATTGATATGGTAATAGGCTGGTCAGTGAGGATTGGACAATAGCCCATTCAAACTGCTGGTCACTGATAATCTCATTGTCAATCTCACAAACACATTAGCCATCAAAAGGACATTAACAAAACGCAGCATTTCACTGCCTTTAAAATCCTTCATTACATTTCACTTGGGGTTAGGGCACCCTGTCTGCCCTCCTGTTTGTGTGAATTAAAAGGTAATCGTGAGACAATCAGGAGAAATTCATACACCTTGTCCTTCCTACCTGTCAAGAACTAATGCCTAAAGATTAATGAAGGGGAGACTTTCCTTCATGTAACATTACCTGCTTATTTTACCTTTTCAGGGGATTAAATTTGACAGGTGTTACCTGAAAACTGATGCAGAAGCTCACAGGGAGATAAGTGTCATATGTACAAGGTTTTACTTTCCCATCAACTACACAAACTCATGGTGGTTGGCCATTAAGATTATGCCACAACAGTTGTAACAGACAAATAATTGCAGATATCATATACCACTGAAGATTTTACATTCAGTCATCAATGACAGTATTGTCTGCTGTTTAATATACTCCCTCAGCAATTCTTTAAAAGCAATGTCTTAGGCTATGAGTATGATTATGTTTTTTTCTCGGCTTTAAGCAGGGACCACACATTGTACCAATGAGAGCATCAAACCTGGGTCGTCAACATGAGCTAACGCTTTAAAGATTATGCTACCCCATCTTCCCACTGTGTGAATTGTCCTTCAAATATTAATACTATATTTGAAAAATCAGCCCAAACTGTGCAAATAATGCTGATAGCTTTATAAACAATGAATTTAGGGTACTGTTATGAGCTTCAGTTGAGCCACATGAATCAATGTATCTGGTACATCCTCTTCATCAATAAATTCTAAAGCTAAAACAGCTATTTTCCTCCAATTGAAAGATAAATATGTAATCTGATATTAAGGAAACTATTTATCAATAAGATCTCATCCGTATAAATGAAGCCTTGATAATATCTTCCACAACTTGCTGACCCTGAACTCAGATGGAACCAGCCAAGACATATTTCACACAAATCTGCACTTATTTTCCACACTAATGCAAGAAAAACCTTGAGACGAGACAGTTTCAAGTTCATTCCCTGAGGTGAACAGTTGACGAAGCGAGACAATTTTCAGCATCATTAGCCAAGTGTCTTCATATGTAATTATCGTCTAATTAAGACTCCACTCAGTATCGACTTTCCTATCTCCTGCAAACAGGATCAGTAAAACCTTGGCAATTGACCCAATCAGGCCTTCAGAAGACAGGCCGCAATGTTTTACACTAGAGTGGAGCGACTCTTCACCACAAAGTGTTACATTTTCCCTCACTGTTAGCATTCAAATTGGGACTGACCAGTCTACGCAGGGGCACAGCAGTCCCTGAGTCCCACAATAGCTACTGGGCCCTACCACCAATTATCTCACATCTCTGTATAAATTCACAACAACAATCAACCTCGGCTCCCAGCTTCTTTCCTAACCTTAGGCTAGGCTAACCAGTAATAGACACAAAAGTTATTTCATGATTTCAATTAATTTGAGTCAGGGTCTGTCTCCTGATTGAGACCCCTAAGGCAAGGGATGTACACCACATGGAGATGGGGAAAGATAGTGATTAAAGGGGACAACCCTCTTACAAAGATCTACATAATCTCCAAATCTGACTTACCCCTCACCACCTTCACACAATATCTACTTATGGTAGTGTTATGCTGGAAATGGAACCAAGATCTTTTGGGTGGGGGGTCTTTGTGTTCAACACCTGATAAATTGTACCTTACATTTTCTCAACACTGAAGAAGATTTAACTAGTTGTTAAAGGATCAGTTTTAAAGAATTAGAAAATAAAAACTGTTGGTTAGCTCTTTAGTTTGACACCTGTGGCATTTGTAACCAAGTGTGAAAATGACAGCTGTTAGATGTTCAATTATGACATAAAAACTGCACATTATTCAGCATTTGTAGCAATACGAATGGATGTGTACATGTCTGTCCAATGCATTCTGGTTTATCCTCAATTACCTAGTGTTTTAGATTTTAATGTCTGATAAATACCCTAGACCGAATCGGTACCACACCTTTGTTCACAATCTCCATACCTTCTGCAACTTACTGAGCACAGAATTTGTCTCACTGACGAGTATCTGGATTCGACAGCTTATTTTAACATCACTGTTATCCGAGCTTTGATCAAAATGTAGTTTTGGTAGCAAATAGGCCCTGGGTATTTATCATGATATGAGTGAGAAAACATAACCTGGATTACTGATGATGAGTTCAGATACAGATATTCATCACCAATTTGTACAATACCAGTGAGTGAGTTGAGTTCTATGCTACTTTTAGCAATATTCAAGCAATATCATGGTGGGCACACCAGAAATGGTCTTCACACATTGTACTGTGGGGATTTGAACTCAGGTCTTCGGTGTGACGAGCAAATGCCTTAACCACAAGGCTACCCCGCCGCCCCTGATAATTGAGGATGAGTTCACATACAGATATTCATCACCAATTTGTACAATACATATAATTATAATATTGACTAAACAATATTTAACATATCTGATATAAATATATACTTCCTGTGTTTCACTGATTGACTGATTTTGGTTTTACGCCGCTTTTAGCAATATTCCAGCAATATCACGGCGGGGGACACCAGAAATGGGCTTCACTCATTGTACCCATGTGGGGATTCGAACCCAGGTCTTCGGCATGACGAGCCAACGCTTTAACCACTAGACTACCCCACTGCCCATCCTGTGTTTCACCTAAGCAACAGCATACCAAAGGTTACAAACAGCACATCTGGGATTCAAACCCACAACCTGCAGATCCTTCTAAGGGATACAACTCTTCACATGTTCTGATCACTGGTTCACTAATGATCCCAATATATTTTTAACTGAAGGTAGAAACAATAACTATCCTCACCCCTATGATATAAGAACAGTTTAAAGGGTCTCATATGAGGATATACAGACGCAGTCACTGATTGGACACTCCTGGCATTATAAACACTGTCTAATACAGGAAAGATAAGTCAAGAAACTTTATATCCTTAGTAAATATCACTTGACTTATGATCCTAGGGTTTTGAAGAAAGATGATCTTATAGCCTCCTTGTGTCCAGCTGAAGGGTATCTGATATCTTGAAGTTTTATTACATTACACCATATCATGGACACCATTATCATGTTGATCCTGTTTACATACTCGACTGTAAATGATGTGACATTTTTATCTCCTACATAACTCACGTACCAGACACTGTACTATGTTGCAGAAGAACAATCTACACATACCTGTGACGAGTTTCACAGGTACGATAATAACCAGCGTAAGGACAGATAGATTTGATTAATGTCATTGCAAAGGTGTTGAAAGTTCGGAAGATCTTGAGAAATTGCAATACTATATTTTCATTGTGTTACCAAGTAAATAATGAAATCAGTTTAATTTGTCATGGTGAAATTAAATTCTATCAGCTTGAGCTAGTTGTTACCAACACAGAAATGAATGCCTATGTTCCCACCAAGATCTAGGTTAATGAAAGATTTTATTTTGAATGCTATCATTTGTTCATTACATCTAGCAATAACTAAGAAATTACTATCTAATTCTGAACTTTATTAAGTTGCTTCTGAATAAAAGTACAGCAACCTCAATGAAATGAACAATATTAACTTTCTCCATTTAATCTCACAACAATCACAAATGACTGAAGTATTAACATTTCTTAGCATAAGATACCTTAGAGTCTGCCTCAGAAGCACAATTAATATTTGTCAAGGGAATTTCAATTCTCAAAACTTGAAACAACCACAGAGATGTGACATGTCCAGAATCATTTAGATGTAAGAATAGAACTAAATCCATTAGCAGAAAATATCAAGTACCTCTTCCAAAGGAAATCTAACCTGATAATGACAAAATGACTACATCAGTAGGCGATGGGGATTTGAAACTATTTCTATGGACAGAGTGAAAGTAAATTTGCCTGAATGTATTAGGTTACTTCAGGTATTCTTGAGGGCAAATTCTTCTAGGATAATGCAGCACAAATCTTTATTTGCTGTGGTCAAAGGACACTGGTTCTTTCCTCACCACAGAAGGGCACCTGTGTGGTTGTATGACGACTGACACCTCTCTTGTATGGTTTCAAAATAGTTCAAGAGAACAGTAAG